TGCGCCAACGCTTAAATTTCCTTCTCATTTAGCTCAGTCAGAGACGGGGTCTCGCTCTTGCTCAGGCTGGTTTCGAACTCCTGACCTCGAGCAATCCACCCGCCTGGCCTCCCCAGAGAAGCTACTAGGATACAGGCGCGAGCCGACCGCGCCCCGCCAGAACGCTTGCATTTTTGCCAGGTTTCGGGGGGGCGGTGGCCTTGCTCTGTGGCACACTGCTCTTGACTGGAAGATAAAAGCAGCCGGGGTTGAAAAGTGCTTCCGGGCGTATTTAATAAAGTATTTAATATGATTTCACACTCTTCTGGCAATTAGTTCAGGCTTGACTATTGAGGGTGGTGTTCCCTCTTCTTGCTCTTCGATTCTGGATTGCTATTCAAAGAAATAGCCACATGAGGGCGGCCTAGCCTTGGAAAAGAGCCGCCTTCCTCCCTTAGAGACAGGATGAAGAAAGAAAAGCGTCCTTCCCTAGGTCAGACTTTTGGAAATGTTAAAAAGTCCAAGGATATCTCTTTTGTCTTGCTGGGTGGCTTCTCAGAGGGCTGTGTGTGTGTGTGTGTTTTCCTGGGAGGGGAATTTAGAAACCTTTTGGGAAAGTGGATGTTTCTGCTTTCTCAAAGCAGCAGAGCCTTTAATTGTGTGGTGCTGTTTAGAGTCTCCGAGGTGCTGTCTCAAAGACGCTTCCTGACGAGCATTTTGGTCAGATGGTTGACACTAGAACTTTGTCCCTGGGGTGGTTCCGAGGCAGTAGATGAACAGCGTAGAGGGGACAACATGATGGGTGGGTAGCAGGAGCAGCTCAGGACTCTGGCTCAGGGCTCCCGGCAGCCAGTGCTCACCAGCCCATTGGCCACTCCACACGGGGGGAGGGAGTTTTGAGAAGATACTGCTCCTCACAAAGGTCCCTCAGCTTTTCCCTGGGAGGTCAGAGGGTTATTGGAGGAGGCGGGACAGTCTCGTCTTCCTGCTTCCAGCCCTGGATGAGATGAGTGGGGTTGCTGCTCTGTTCCTGCCCGTGGAAACAGCAGAGGCTCTGGATAGGACACACAGCCATCGCCTCCGTTGGGTGGCCCCACAGGAAGGCTGGCATGGAGGTCTCCCCTGGGAGGAGGCTGCCCTGCAAGGTCATAGTGTGCCAGAGGAAACTTGTGGATTCAACATGGACCCGGGGCCAGGCAGCTCCACGGCAATCCTTGGCAGCAGGCTATGATGTGTCTGACATGGCTGGACCACTCATTTTTTTTTTTTTGAGACAGAGTCTCACTTTGTTGCCCAGGCTAGAATGAGTGCCGTGGCGTCAGCCTAGCTCACAGCAACCTCAAACTCCTGGGCTCAAGCGATCCTACTGCCTCAGCCTCCCAAGTAGCTGGGACTACAGGCATGCACCACTATGCCCGGCTAATTTTATATCTATATCTATATATTAGTTGGCCAATTAATTTCTTTCTATTTATAGTAGAGATGGGATCTCGCTCTTGCTCAGGCTGGTTTCGAACTCTTGACCTCGAGCAATCCGCCCGCCTCGGCCTCCCAGAGTGCTAGGATTACAGGCGTGAGCCACCACGCCCGGCCTCATCAGTAGATTTTATCTTGGAGAACAAAGGGCTCTAAGAAACGCTGCCTGAGTGGCAAATTGGCCCAGCTCAATGTTTTTCAGAAAAGTCTCTTCTTGGTACCACCAGTTAAAAGAGATTGAAAGCAAGGGAGTCCTTTCAGAATGCCCACACCCCTCCCTGGCCTAAAGGTGTAAATGAGGGGAGGCCAACCATGCAGCTCACTCGCTTTTGTTACCCGTGACTCAGTGGGTTGAGTCCTGGCCCTCAGGCTGGCCTGTGTCACTCTGGTGGCTGCTGCTATTTTGTGGCCAACTCCTAAGTCACCAGGACAGCCTGAATGAGCCAAAAGTGAAATCCAGACATGGCTGCAGAGGCCAAATTGCTGCCCTGGTCCCCCTGACCTCCCCCCCTCCCCAGGCGCTGGGGGAGCCACAGACAGTTTTTGGACCATTAGGGACCTTTTAATCTATAAAGTGGCACATCATGGAGCAGTGGGGGACAGAGGCCTACAGGAGGCAATGGGAGGGTGAGGACATACGGGCCAGAGTGCAGGGCACAGGGCACTAATGGTGAGGGCGTTGACAATGCAAAAAATAATACTGCTAATGTTGGAACATTTCCCAGGGCTTTTCTACTATGGCTCCTCTGTCTTGGATCATCACAGCAGCATCATGAGGTCTGTCTCAGGTAGGGTCCCCTGAAAACAGACCCTGCCTGTCATGGTTCATGGGGGAGGTGCTCTTGGGAGCTGCACTTGGGAGGGGTGAGGGAGCAGCTGGGTGCCATGCACCTGCAACAGGGGACTCCACAGACCTCTCGCGACCTCACAGCTTTGGACAGGTTAAGTGACTTGCTCAAGACCAGTCAGCTACTAAGTGGCTTCTTGGGATCCCGGCCAAGGACTGTGTTTTATTTATTTATTTGTTTGTTTGTTTTTATTTTGTCATTTTTTTCCTTCAGATAAGGACTGTGTTTTATTTATTTATTTATTTATTTATTTATTTATTTATTTATTTATTTTTTAAAGCCAGTCAAATTTAGCAGTGGGGGGTTGAATACCAACTTTAGTGACACTAATGTGAATAAGTTCTGATAACCCACTACCATCGGACCAGCCAGGACTGTGTTTTAGATTGGGCCTGTCTGCCCTAAGAATGGATTCCCTGACCTAAGCCTGGACTCCATGATGTAGGAATATACTTCTTGACCTCAGAATGGGCTCCCTGACCTGAGACTGGACCCCCTGACTTAGGCGTGGACTCCCTGACCTCAGAATGAACCCCGCAACCTCAGGATGGATTCCTTGACCTCAGAATGGACCCCTTGACTTCAGAATGAACTCCCCGACTTAAAAATGGACTTTCTGACCGTTATTTTACAGGTGATCCCAAGAAGCTCCAGTAGGGAGTGGGGAGGTAAGACACGGAAGAGAAAGAAGGCAGGTCAGTGTGTGAGGAATAGGTAACCTCTGGCTATCCACTGGGACCACTGTCCCCTGCCCCCCACTTCCAGGATTTTGTGAGAAGGTGTGGCATGCCCCTCAGACACTGGAGGGTGGAGAAGCTGGGCACTAACTGCCAGCTCGTCATCTGTTGCTGGGCGAGGTCCAGTCCTGGGGGATGGGCCCTTCTCCTTGTGCTTGGCAGATTATGCTGCGAGCCAGAGAGAGTTCCAGGTGCCAGCAGTGGCACCATGGAGGGTGCTTTGGAGGCATTGGATGGAGGTAGGAAGATAAATTGAAGACCAGTGCAAGGGCTTTATTTATTTATTTATTCATTCTTCTTTTTTTTCTTTGAGACAGAGTCTTACTCTGCTGCCTGGGTGAGTGCTATAGCATCAGCCTAGCTCACAGCAACCTCAAACTCCTGGGCTTAAGGCTATCCTCCTGCCTGAGCCTCCCAAGTAGCTGGAACTACAAGCATGCACCACTATGCCCGACTGATTTTTTTTCTATTTTTAGTAGAGATGGGGTCTCACTCTTGCTCAAATCCCTGAGCTCAAGCGATCCTCCCGCCTCGGCCTCCCAGAGTGCTAGGATTACAGGCGTGAGCCACCACGCCCGGCCTCATCAGCTGTAATGATCATTACGAGTAAGCCTCCCAGAGTGCTAGGATTACAGGCGTGAGCCACCACGCCCGGCCTCATCAGTAGATTTATCTTGGAGAACAAAGGGCTCTAAGAAACGCTGCCTGATTGGCAAATTGGCCCAGCTCTATTTTTTTCAGAAAAGTCTCCTCTTGGTACCACCAGTTAAAAGAGATTGAAAGCAAGGAAGTCCTTTCAGAATGCCCACACCCCTCCCTGGCCTAAAGATGTAAATGAGGGGAGGCCAACCATGCAGCTTACCCACTTTTGTTACCCGTGACTCAGTGGGTTGAGTCCTGGCCCTCAGGCTGGCCTGTGTCACTCTGGTGGCTGCTGCTATTTTGTGGCCAACTCCTGAGTCACCAGCACAGCCTGAATGAGCCAAAAGTGAAATCCAGACATGGCTGCAAAGGCCAAATTGCTGCCCTGGTCCCCCTGACCTCCCCCCCTCCCCAGGCACTGGGGGAGCCACAGACAGTTTTTGGACCATTAGGGACCTTTTAATCTATAAAGTGACATATCATGGAGCAGTGGGGGACAGAGGCCTGCAGGAGGCAATGGGAGGGTGAGGACACACAAGCCAGAGTGCAGGGCACAGGGCACTAATGGTGAGGGCATTGACAATGCAAAAAGTAATACTGCTAATGTTGGAACATTCCCCAGGGCTTTTCCACTATGGCTCCTCTGTCTTGGATCATCACAGCAGCATCATGAGGTCTGTCTCAGGTAGGGTCCCCTGAAAACAGACCCTGTGTGTCATGGTTCATGGGGGAGGTGCTCTTGGGAGCTGCACTTGGGAGGAGTGAGGGAGCAGCTGGGTGCCATGCACCTGCAACAGGGGACTCCACAGACCTCTCGCGACCTCACAGCTTTGGACAGGTTAAGTGACTTGCTCAAGACCAATTGGCTACTAAGTGGCTTCTTGGGATCCCGGCCAAGGACTGTGTTTTATTTATTTATTTGTTTGTTTGTTTTTATTTTGTCATTTTTTTCCTTCAGATAAGGACTGTGTTTTAGATTGGGCCTGTCTGCCCTAAGAATGGACTCCCTGACCTAAGCCTGGACTCCATGATGTAGGAATATACTTCTTGACCTCAGAATGGGCTCCCTGACCTGAGACTGGACCCTCTGACTTAGGCGTGGACTCCCTGACCTCAGAATGAACCCCGCAACCTCAGGATGGATTCCTTGACCTCAGAATGGACCCCTTGACTTCAGAATGAACTCCCTGACTTAAAAATGGACTTTCTGACCATTATTTTACAGATGATCCCAAGAAGCTCCAGTAGGGAGTGGGGAGGTAAGACACGGAAGAGAAAGAAGGCAGGTCAGTGTGTGAGGAATAGGTAACCTCTGGCTATCCACTGGGACCACTGCCCCCTGCCCCCCCCTTCCAGGATTTTGTGAGAAGGTGTGGCACGCCCCTCAGACACTGGAGGGTGGAGAAGCTGGGCACTAACTGCCAGCTCGTCATCTGTTGCTGGGCGAGGTCCAGTCCTGGGGGATGGGCCCTTCTCCTTGTGCTTGGCAGATTATGCTGCGAGCCAGAGAGAGTTCCAGGTGCCAGCAGTGGCACCATGGAGGGTGCTTTGGAGGCATTGGATGGAGGTAGGAAGATAAATTGAAGACCAGTGCAAGGGCTTTATTTATTTATTTATTCATTCTTCTTTTTTTTCTTTGAGACAGAGTCTTACTCTGCTGCCTGGGTGAGTGCTATAGCATCAGCCTAGCTCACAGCAACCTCAAACTCCTGGGCTTAAGGCTATCCTCCTGCCTGAGCCTCCCAAGTAGCTGGAACTACAAGCATGCACCACTATGCCCGACTGATTTTTTTTCTATTTTTAGTAGAGATGGGGTCTCACTCTTGCTCAAATCCCTGAGCTCAAGCGATCCTCCAGCCTCAGCCTTCTAGAGTGCTAGGATTACAGGCGTGAGCTACCGTGTAAACGCATAGAGTGTAAAGCAAGGGCTTTACTGAACGCAGTAACCCTGAGGGTGCAGAACATGGATGCAGTGTGACCAGGGAGAGAATCATGAGACTTAGGGACTGATTCCGGGTGTGGGGAGAGGGAAGAATGAGCAGGAACCCAGAATCCTCACTTGAGCAATTCTGTGCACATTGGTGAAATGGGAACAAGGTGGATGCAATTTGGAATACTTACTGGAGGTGAGTTTGGGATGTCAAGTGGAGAAGGCCATTTGGCCCTGGGGCGGGAGCATGGGTGGGCTTGGGGCTGAAGGTGTAGATTTGGGGATCTGATTGCAGATGGAAGACCAAGCCCCCAGAATGCCTGACCCAGCTTGACCTTGTATCTGGGTACAGATACAGTGAGAAGCAAAGGAGCCCAATTTGTTATGCACCTGGCTTAGAGGAAGCTCTTCATAAATGGCGGCTGACATGCTCATATCATGTCATGTGTTTTTCTGAGGGTTGTTTGTGTTGTTTGCATCAGCCAATATACTAGCTGTGTTCTGCTCTTTCTATAGGTTCTTCTGTGTCTGTTGAATATTATAATTTATTATACTTATAGTAGTAGGGAAAAATGGAAATGGCAAATTAGATAGAAAAATAGAGCTATTTTTAAGGCCCACTTAAACTCAGGAACAATTGCAGGGATGCAATGAATCAGAGTTTACGCAGTCACTGGGGATACTGAAATGATTTCAGTACACATGGACAGTTCATGGAAGAAAATCACCAGGGAGAATTAGGAGGACATTCTGAAGGATAAGAGGGGGCTTTAGTTGCAGTTCTAGGAAAGGGCAGTCGTGGGGACCTTTTCTACTTTCTAGATTGCCTACATTCCAATAACTGAGGCTGTGAGTCAGGCATGGTGGCACCTGTAGTCCAGTATCTCGGGAGGCTGAGGCGGGAAGCCCAGGAGTTCAAAGCCAGCCTGGGAAACATAGTGAGACCTTGTCTCAATTAAAAAAAAAAAAAGGAACTGAGGCCTGATGTCTCTTGGGAGGTGGGATGCAGTGCTGACTTGGTTAAAAAAAAAAAAAAAAAAAGGAACTGAGGCCTGATGTCTCTTGGGAGGTGGGATGCAGTGCTGACTTGGTTGCTATAGTAACTGGTCAGCCTCAGGGCTGAGTGGAGGGACTCAGAAAGAACCAGGTGGGGCCACCTGAGTTCCCTGGCTGGACATGGCTTCTTAGCCCCCAGCCCCAGAGAATCCTGCAGCACTTGGTTATTATGCATCTGGAAACTTTTCTGAAGCATTTCTCTGCAGGCAGGCCTGTCAGCTAGATTTTTAAAGTAACATGTCTGGGATTCCCAGTGCCTCAGCGAAGGTTGATCTCCCCTGATGGAGACTGAAGAAAGAGTGTTGCGGGTGGAATATTATTTAACCAGGGATGGCTGGAAAACAAAAAGGGGCCTCTGGTTCCATGAGGCGGAGGACAAATGAGATGGGAGACCTGAGTCATGCATGTCTGTTCACCTGCCTGGAACAGACGGCTGAGTCTCATTTGGCAGAGAAATGAAGACGATGAAAACAGACTCAGCTGGTGTCAGACAGAGGCAAAGGCAAGTGACATCTGGGTCCTGAATTATTTATTTGTCTTCATTCCCCTGTGTTGGTTGTTTTGGTTGTTTTTCAATGATTATAGCTTTTAGAAGTTAAATCCATATCAGAAGGATTTGAAAAATTTATAATAAAAATACAAAGTGGAAGCCACAGGTTCTAAAAGTGGCATTTGTTCAAGAAATAGCAATATGGTTTTACAACAGTTGGTAGTAATCAATAATTTTAATGAAAACCTTCAAAGTTTGGAGGATGGTGAGGTTGATGCTTTTTACTGACCAGCGATAACCAAACAGTCTCAAAGGGGATCTTGTTTTGTAAACAAGCAGTGCAGAAGAGGAACCCCCAGAGACAGGCTACTGTCATGCAACATCACTTAGGTGGAAATCAGTTTTGTGATGAGCTAGGCTGTTCTTGTGCTCAGTGATGGACCCTCAAGGGAAAAAAGATGAGAGCCCACCTGCCTGCACACCTGGTCTTCAGTCACCTGAAGCAAACTGTTGTGCCTTCATGTTGCACACCTGACCAGTTCCAAACTAGAAAGGAATGTGCCCGGCCACGTGTGGGTGGGTGGTTGAGGGAAAATGATTGGTGTTGGTGGGTAAAATGATTTTTTCTTCCTGGATCTGGGATTTTATTTGAATGATTCTTTAAAAATTATTTAAAAATTTTCTGCCAAGCAAAGGTTTGTGAAAATGTCAACGAATAGCTCACCCTTGCCCAGAGAAAATGAGATTTGAGGTATGGACATTTCTATGTAGAAATAAAGGGGTTGAGTCTTATGGTTTTAAGATTTATAATGGGAAGTAATGGGGATTTGTCAGCACTTTGTTGTGATGGTTTTTAATGACACTGTTGGGAGGGAATGGTGAATTGATGGCCCCAGGAGGGGGTCCCTTGGTTGGTCAGAAATGAATCTGTGGAGCATCTGAGAAACAGAGAAGACTTGAGGATGGTCCATTTCTGTTACCGATACTGTTGTCTTCCCAGTCATGCCTAAAATATCAGCTTCAGTCATCTCTTGCTCCTTCCTCTCCCCAGTCTCTGCCATGAGCCTCTTGTAGTATTTTCCAGTAAGCTTTGCTTAAGAGAATACTGAAGAAAATCCTTGCAAACAAAACCACCAGATCCTGGAGAAGCAGCATCTTTTCTAGAGTTGATTGCCTTCCTCCTAACACCAATAATACCTCCCTTGACCAGCCACCAGCACCCTTTGGAGGGAATGCATTTTTGCCTTCAAGTGGCCTGTTGGTGTGTTTGAAGGCCCTGGTTGTTCGAGGGCCACGCTGTAAGTCTGCAGGTGCCCTGTGTCATTGCACCCCTGGCTGCTGTGTGTGCTGGAGGGCAACTGCCAACATTGCCCACATGGCGCCTGTGTACCAAGGTGGGATCAACTCTGCGGCACAGTCCCTGCTCCAGGGCTCCCATGGGGCCAGGCCGAGGTGTGACCATGGTGGAGACAAGGCCCTCCTCCCCTCGTCCCTGCCCTGTTCTGCCTCCCTCTCTCTCTTCCTCCTGAGCCCGCCCTCCAACCATAGGCACCCACATCCCCGTCTCAGGCTCCTCTTCTATGAGACCTGACTCCAGAGAGCCTCACGCTTGGATTGCTGCAATTGCCTCCCTCCAACTTCTTTGCTGTTCCCCCAGTGTCCAGCACTCCTTTACCTTAATGCATGTTACGTAACCTGCCAGATTGCGCTTCCTAAAATGCAGCTCCCACATGTGCATCCTTGCTCCTGAATATCTATGGCATTTGTTCACAAACTTAAATGTGCAACCACAAGCAAAAGATCACACAAAGAATTTGCTTAGACTATAGACATCAATACCTATCTCTGACCTTTTGATTCAGTCCATCTGGGCAGGGCCTGGGAATCTGCACTTTTAACAAGCCTCCACCTCCACCCTAGGTGATTTGGGTTTTGAAACAGATGCTTTGTAGGGAACTGATTCTTTTCTGCTTTCTATTGGAGTTCTGCACCTGTTTTTTCTCTTTTCTGGAGTGTCTTTGAGGAGAATATGTGCAACCTTTTCATCTTTGTGGGAGACAAGCTTGGCCCAACCTTTGAGTATAGTAATCTTGCATCCTAAATATTTGATAACGAAGAAAGGAAGAAAAGAGAGGAATGAGCAAGGCCAAGTAAGGGGCAGTGTGTGTGGGGGTGACCATCCTGGATACTGTGGGCCACCCTGGATTTTACCACGCTTCGTGTATTAGTCAGGGTTCTCCAGAGAAACAGAACTAGGATATTGGAGATACATATCTACTATTGGTACTTTTCCATGTAATCAATATATATTTTAATAATAATATATGAAATATAATAGATCATCTATAATTATATACAATAAATTATGTGAATAAATATATATCTAGATATATATCTAGGAAGATATATATCATATATAATTTATTATATATTACCTAAGGAGAGATTTATTATAAGGCATGGGCGCACATGATTATGGGGGCTGAGAAGTCCTACAGTCTGCCGTCTGCACCTGGAGACTCAGGAAAGCTGGTGCTGCAGTCCAGCTGGAGAGCCAATGGTAGAGATTCCAGTCCAGGCCTAAGGACCAGAAGCACAGAGGGCAGAAGGTCCATGTCCTAAGCAGTTAGGCAGTTACTTCAACCCAAGAACTGGGGGTGGGAGGATGAGATAAGTCTTGGTCTGAGTCCAAAGGCCTGAGAACCAGGAGCTCTGATGTCTGAGGGCAGGAGAAGGTAGGTGGCTGCCAACAGATTGGACGATGCCCTCCCACAGTGTAGATGGCCATCTGCTGTATCTACCCAGTCCACTGATTTAAATGCTAACCTCTTCTGCAAAGACCCTCACAGATACACCCGAAATAATGCTTAACCAGCTATCTGGGTCCTCTGACCCAGGCAGGTTGACACATAAAACAATCATCACACTTGGTGGTTTTATTGTACCCTTGGCCTGTGTGTGGCAGACTGTTAATATAGGGTGTAGCCATATGAAAGCAGACAGATTTCCACAAGGTTTCTTTGTTGGAGACATTTTCCCAATTTCAGTTGTTGGGTGCTAGCACCAAAGAATAAACCCAAGATGTATCATGAAGCCAAGAACAGAATCTCACTTTGTCGGATAAAATTTTTCAGCTAGGGTAGTAATTTTGGTGCTCAAAGGACCTAATTGTTTTAGAAAATGGCAAGGAAGTGCATTCGTGTAGGTGGCAGGGCGGCAAAAGAGAGGGCATCCATCCAACCCAAGGAAACTGGCCCTTCCATATTTAATCTCATTTCTTTAAACTGAGGGGACCCACTACTGACTGTGGCAGCAGTGGGCCCCAGTGGGGTCTAGTTGGCTTCATGGTTCCGAGCTGGGCAGTGGAGGAAGAGGACTGAAGAGATGGGTCTGGGCTCACCGAGAAGGTGTGGGTGAGAACCGAGTGGGAACCTGCTGGGCACCTACAGGCGCGAGGAAGGGGTGGGATCCTAAAGACATGGGGTGAGAAGGAGGAATGCCTCAGTGGGACCATTGCCCAGGAGCAGGCAAGAGGTCTCAGGAGGGCAGCTCAGCCATAAGTGTGTGGAACCCGGCCCCTGACAAACCAGAAGTCCACTTTGTGGGGTAGGGGCTGGCAGAGACTTGCTCCTGGCCCTGAATAAGGATGTGGTGTTTGATCCTTGGAGGTTTGGAGCAGGACGAATGGCTGGGAGCAGTAGGGGAGCTCAGGTAGGAAGCAAATGGCCTGCCAGGGCTGGGGGCCGACAGTCACTTTCTCCTCGAGGTCGCCGAGGCTGAGGGCAAGTGGTGATGGTGGGGCAGACATGCTTGGCTTATTCTCACCCAGCACAACTACTGCTAAAATAAAGCCCTGGGCTCTCTCTGTTTGTTAGTATTTCTGAAAGCTTGTTCTTGTTGCTTAGGAACGAGCACTGTAGTTTAGAAATCAGATATTTTATTTTAAAGATCTTGTGTAAAACAATTGCAAAATTATCATCATGCAGTCAGGATTTGTGATTGGCAGCAACTCCCAAATTATGTAAAATTTTTTTTTTTTTTGAGCTAGAGTCGTGCTCTGTTGCCCTGGGTAGAGTGCAGTGGCATCATTGGAGCTCACTGCAACTTCAAACTCCTGGGCTCAAGTGATCCTCCTGCCTCAGCCTCTCCAGTAGCTAGGACTACACGTGCATGCCACCATGTCTGGTTAATTTTTCTATTTTTAGTAGAGATGAGGTCTTGCTTTTGTTCAGGCTGTTGTTGAACTCCTGACTTCAAGCCATCCTCCCACCTTGGCCTTCCAAAGTGCTAGGATTACAGGCATGAGCCACTGCGCTTGGCTGATTTTTTCTTCTTTTGGAAAAGTAAATTGAAGCTCAAAACCAAACAAAAACACTGTCCTTTAAAATTCTGAGTTAAAAGCTGCTTTTATTGTCTTCAATAGTGATGACTACTTCTGTCTGCTTTGTAGTTTCCAGAGACCTTCACAATGGTCCTGTGAAGCTGGTTTTATGACTCCCTCCACTATACAGATGAGGAAACTGAGGCTGAGAGGTGAGGCTGGCTGCCCTATGAGGAGCAGTGTTATGCACTTCATGGGGGCAGGACTCCAGAGAGGCGTGACTCACGCCTGAAGGACCAAGGGGTGCGCAGCGAGTCTCCCTGGCTGGATGGTGTGTGGCGGCCTGTTCAAGTGCTGTGACCCGAGTGCCCTTCCCTGCGTGGCTCCAGGTTAGAGGTGGCCAAAGGAGGGACTTGCCTAAGGTCCTGGATGCCACAGCGAGGCAGCAGCTGTCACTCTCCAGTGTCATCGGGGTTGGATATGGTGATGGACAGCCGCAGAGGTGTCCCGTGAGTCCTGGTGGTCCTCCTGACTGCTGACCCTGCAGACCAGCAGCGGCCTAGGCTTGGCCACAGCCCCACCGAGGGGAACCGTGAACACTAAATAATCAGAGGTCCATCTGCTAATTAGAAAGGAATTCTGTTTTAACCCTGAATTCCCAAGCTGGGCAGAGGATATAACCTTTTGAGCCTCAGTGTCGTCATCTGGAAAATGGAAATGATAATAACAACAGTAATAACGACAGCGCCTCCCTCCTAAGATGGTGAGGGAATGCGCCAAAGCAGAGGGACAAATCAGTTTAGGGCCTGCCTGACCCAAGGTAAGGCCTCATGTCGCAGCCTCCACCGTTCAACGGTTTTACTGAAGCATGAGACACATAAACATGTTCCCAAACGTTCCCAAATCACAGTGTCCAGCTCAGCACGACCTTGCAAGGTGAAACCTGCACCGCGCTGAGAATATCTCCAGCACCCAGAACCCCCACCCACGTGCCCCACAAGTATGACCACTAACTGGGTCCCAGCAGCTAGGGGTCGTTTAGCCTGTTTTGAACTTCTTATGAGTGGACTCCCAGGGTGCACCCTTCTGTGTCCGGCGCCTTCCGCTCAGCATCGCGCTGTGACATTCATCCACGGGACTGTGTAGCTGCAGGTGTTTGTTCTCCCTCCCAGGTATAGATCACTCCACAGTCTATGAATTCATTCTACTTTTGATGGGCAATTGCAGCTCTTTCCGTGAGTGCAGCTGTGCACAGCCCAGTGGCCGGTGGTGCCTAGCCCAGCAGTGCCCGCGTCACTGGGGCTGGCTGGACACACAGACTGGCCCTCCTGCAGAATCGGGAAGGGTCCCCAGGCCTGGTCTAATCCTGTCAGTGTAGGAGCCTTGCAGGAGCCTCCCCTGTATAGAGGTCAGAGACTCAGCCCCCCAGGTGCCCGGGTCTCACTGGGTCATAAGACCACTCGGCAGTCCAGTGGCGCCAAGACGCACCATGTGCTCTTTGATGGGATGGCATGCGTGAAGGCAAGCTCTGCCTAAGCTGGGGTCAGCCGAGCATTTTTGTAAGGAGGGCCCTTTGCTCGTATCCATGGTGGCCTCTGCTGTGCTGAGAGGTGGGCACAAAAGCAAAGTGGGAGGCTGGGAGGCTGAGCAAGCCTAGAGAAGGGAAAGGAGAGGCAGGTGGCTGCAGGCTGTGCTGCAGCGAGGAAGACAAGTGGGAGAAGACATGGGGTGGGGGCTGCGGGGGGAGCTGCAGAGAGCATGGCCCAGATGATGGCCTCACCGTCACCTTTAAAAGTCAACCTGGGCAGGCAGCACCCCTTCAGAGAGAGAAGAGTTGTTTCACCCCCAACGTTCCCAGATCCTGTCCCAGTCCGTTCCTTTCACCCCCAGCCCCAGGAAACCACCGATCTGCCCCTGCCACTGTGGCGAGGTGTGTGTCTTCTAGAACTGCCCATGAATGGAACCAGTACTTGTGTGTGGTCCTTTGCATCTGGTTGCTTTTGTTCAGTGCAATACCTTTGCGATTCGCCCATGTTAGGTGCATTAATGGTCGGCCCCTTTTAATTGCTAAGTAGTGTTCCACTGTAAGGATATTCCACAGTCTCTATCCATTGACCTGTAGCCTGTTTTCAGTTTTCAGTTATTACAAATAAAGCTTCTAGGGAACAATTTCCTGGAAGCCTTTTTATGGTGTTATCTTTTCATTTCCCTTGAGTAAATATCTAGAAGTAGCATTGCTGTCTTGTGCCTCAGTGTCCATTTCCCAAAGTGATTGCACCATTTTATATCCCACCAGCATGGTGTCAGAGCTCTCATTCTTCCACATCCTCACCCGCACTTGGTGAGAACAGTTAAAGCACAAAGGACTTCTAGTTGGCCGAGGTATAAGCTGCTAAGTTGGCCTCATGCTGGGACTGTGCTCAACAGAGGGTGGTTGCCGCTGGGGAGTAGCATGCACGTTGGGATCACTGGGAAAGTTTTTTAAGATTGCCCCGTCTGGGCCCCACCCTAGATCAATCAAACCAGGGTGGTTCCCAAGCATAAGCCTTTTTCAAAGCTGCTCAGCAGAGGCTGAGAACCACTGCTGCAGAAAAAGTCGCGTCCAACAGAGAGACATATTTTGCAGAGAAGGCTGGGACCTGGTGCCAGTGAAGGAGCTGCTCTCCCCTGAAAGGCAAGAGCTGGTCAGTCCCAAAGTACCCCGGCTGCCCCTGCTCACTCCTGGGGTGGATCCAACCTCCCAGCTGTCCCCCTGTCCTGCTCCCTCTGCCTCCACCAATGGCATTTCTTCCTGAGCAAGGGTGGGGGGGAAAGCCAGGGACAGAGTCCCTCTTCCCACCATTGGCGATGGAACCCATGAAGCGAATGAGGAACACTCTCTGGGTCCACTCCCGCCAGTCCCTTCCTCAGTGTCCCTTCTTGTAAGCATGGCCATGCAGGCAGGACTCAGCCCCGCACCTCTTCCTTCTCATGCCTGATATAATCAGAGCTGGTCTTGAGGTTGCACATCCCACCCAATCATTGCTGACCCCCCGACTTACATTTCCTGCTCAGATCCCTGGATTTCAGAGTTATCCACCCACCAGCCAACTCCACATCTCCTCGTGGGGCATCGAGTGGGATATCCCAAATCAACACGGCCAACACCAGCGCCCACCTCTTGGCCCTCTCCACAAACCTTCCCTTCTCCACCTCACTGAATGACAGGTCCAGTCTCCCAGTTGTTCAGACAGAACTTCTGTGGCGGCAGATTAGTGCCCTCCAATGATGTCCACACCCTAATCCAAGGACCCTGTGAACATGTGACCTTACAAAAGGGCCTTGCAGGTGTGGTTAAGGATCTCGAGGTGGGGAGAGTGACCTGGCTTGTCCATCCAGTGTGCCTGAGGGAATCACACAGGCTCTTTGGGAGGGAGGCAGGAGGGTCAGGGGCAGAGAAGATGTGACCACAGGAGCAGAGGTTGGAGTGATGTGGCCGTGAGCTGAGGAATACACACAGCCTCTGGACACTGGACAAGGTGAGGAACAGATTCTCCCGTAGAGCCGCCCAAGGAGCACAGCGCTGCTGACACCTTGAGTTTAGCCGGGTGAGACCTGTGCCAGACTTCCAACCTAGGAGACTGTTTAAGGTAATAAATCTATGTTTTTTTTCAGGCCACTAGTTTGTGGTAAGTTGTTATGCTGCCACCAAAAAGTAATACAATTTTTGTTTTTGCATCTCCTCTCTGTCACACACACACCTGCACCTAAACCATCAGCAAAACGGGTCAGTTCTGCCTCCAAAATATTTCCAGAACTTGACCACTTCTCAATATCACCCACCCCCACTATCCCAATCCTAGATGAGCCTCCATCATCTTTTGCCTGGACTAGTGCAGTAGCCTCCAAGGTAAAGATGGCTAGTGAGCCCCAGTACCCATTCCCGGCTTTTCCTTAGGAAGAGAACTGATTATTTGGAAGTGGGAGGGCACATAGTGGCCCAGAATAAAGACCTGCATTTGCTAAACTTCCCTGGAGCTCTGGCCAATAGGAAATACACAGAAGTGTCCTATACAACTTCCAGAAAATACGTTTAAAAGGACAGAGCAGGTCTCTCTTAATCCTTTCTTCCAGCAGCTGGCTGGAATGGAGATGTGCTGGCTGGAGCTGTAACACCACCTGGGCCTATGAGGCAGGCAATGTCAAGTGGCAGAGAAGCAAGCTAGAAGGGAATTTGGAGTTGCTATAACAGCCTTGTTCTGCCTATTTCTGTTCTTGGTATACTGGAGAGAGAAACTTCTATGCTACTGAGTCATTGTTATCTGGGGATTTGGATGACATGGAGCTGATCCCGCTCATCACATCTCCTGTGTGGCCTTCCTGCTCCTGCCTGGGCCCCACCCCTCACGGTTTATTCCTGACCTAGAAATCAGAGTGGTCCTTCAGACACGTCGGTCAGTCCCCTTCTGCTCAAGACCCTTCCACAGCTTCCCTCTCACCCACACTAAAAGCCAAAACCTGATCAAAGCCAAGGTCTCTGCCTGACACTCACCCCACCTTCCCCACCTCCTTCCCCTTGTACCCTTGTGCGCCCCACTTCAGCTGCCGCGCCCTGTTTGCTGTTTCTGGAGTGTGCCACATCTGCTCCTGCCGGGGGCCTTTGCATGTGCCGTTCATGCAGCTGGAATGCTTTTCCCCAGACACTGTCTTCATCCTGGACTCTGCTCAAAGGAGCCCATCTCCGACCCTCCTCCCTAAAATAGCTCCCACCTTGCCCATCCGTCCCTGTCGGGTGCCGTCTCTTCCTGATCTCCCACTGATGTTGTTTATTCACTTGTTTGCATGTGGTCCCCTTCCCCTCACCGGAGGGCATGTTCTTTGAGGCTGGGCCTGTCTCTGCCATGTTTGCAGCTCTGTCTTCATCCCTTGGAGCGGCGTCTGGCGAGCCGGAGGAGTTCGGCTGAATGAGTGACTGACTGCGTGAACAGATAAGCCGTGTTGGAGGCTGCCTCGCCTTTTTGAGGCACAAGGAGACAACACCGTGACTCAATACACTGTGGAGAACCAGGATGGTTGGCACAGATCACTTTGGATTCTGGGACCTTCTTTTCTGTTTGCCAATTCTTATTGAAAATGGGTCTTGCAGAACAGGATCAAGGTAATTCAGGGATTTTTCCCCCTAAAGAAATATTTAGATCTTCTGGTTCATTACTTTAAACCAGTGGTTCTCAAGGAGGTCGCTTTTGCGCCCCAGAGGACATTGGACAATGTGTGGAGACGTCTCAGCTTGTCTCGCCTGAGGTCGAGGGTGCTACTGGCATCGAATGGGTAGAGGTCAGGGATGTTATTCAGAAAATACCGTGTTTCCCCCCAAAATAAGACAGGGTCTTATATTTATTTTTCCTCAAGAAGACACCCTAGGGCTTATTTTCATGGGATGTGTTATTTTTTTTAACTACGGTACAACAATCTACATTTATTCAAATATAGCTCAGTCGTCTTCTTCTGGAGCATCATCATAGTAAAATGGCAGCCACAGCTTTCCTTCTTCCTCCTGGGGGCACACAATACCTAAAGCGGAGTGTCCCCTCCTCACTTCACTTTCCCCTCAAAGCCTCGGCTTGCAGCACGCACAGGATGGCGGGGACCTGACAGAGGAGCCGACCTTGTTGGTGGGGCTGCCCGCACCTTTCTGGTCACCTCTGGGATAGTAGCTGTCATGATATGGCAGATGAGAAGGGCTGCTCGTCTCCTTTGCTGGTCTGCTATGAGCTGCATGGGTTGTACAGATCTGCTGTGTAGCCACGCCATCACTAGGTCTTATGTTTGGGGTAGGGTTTATATTGCCCAAATGCTTAGAAATCCTGCTAGGGCTTATTTTATGGGGAAACACGGTACTACAATGCACAGGCCAGCCCTCCACAACAAAGAATTATCTGGCCCCAAATTTTGCTCTTGCCAAGATTGAGAAACCCTGGGTTAAACATATCTCATGAAATAGCAGCATTGAAATCATATTTTATTCTGCTGGTGTTGCATACAGAATTCTTTGAGCTTCTTCAAGTTCAGGAGAGGTTAGAGGAGGACTATGTTTTGCTTTCAGGATAGTCAGTTCTTAGTTTAGAAGTGTTTCCATCAGTAGATCAGTAACTCGATAAGCACTTACTGTATATTCCATGTGTGTGGCACACGGGGTCACTGCACTTCTGTTTCCTTCTCTCCCACCTCCATGTCCTTCCACACCCCACCCCAGCCCTTGTCACTGGACTTTCCCAGTCTTACTACACATTGGAACCTTCTTGAATGAATGAATGAATGAATGAATGAATGAATGAAATATACACAGGAAGGTAGACAACATGAAACTGAGGTAGAGGGGTGTGGCTTTGGGCCATGTGGCTGTCTTTGGGACACATGGAGCTGGACAGGGAACCTTTGGCAGCCAACTTGGACTACTGGAGGTGAAGGGGTGTCTGGGGTCTGGGGAGCAATACGATGTCCACCACAGCCTTGCCCAGCCCATGATGGTTTATTTAATTGAAGCTCTACTCATCAATTTTATGGGGAGAATCCAAATAGGAATTGTTCTTAATTAATCCCAGATATCAACTTCTCTTCTTCTTTTTGGGCTTTATCCTAAGAGATAAATAGTCAAAAGACATACAGTTGTTTGAAAATTGTGGTTGCTTCCATTCTGTTTAACATAGGGCTTAACTTCACATGAAAATCAAGATTTACAAAAACAAACCTAGCAGGAGTTGGGTGGGAAAAGAGGCATGTCTTTTGATTATTCATCTTTTAGGATAAAGTCCAAAAAGAAGAAGAGAAGTTGATATCTGGGATTAATTAGGAACAATTCCTTTTTGGGTTTTCCCCATAAAATTGGAGAGTGGAGCTTCAATTAAATAAACCATCATGGGCTGGGAAAGGCAATGGTGGACACCGTGTTGCGACCCCTGATTTATGTCGGCACAGCAAGATCCAGCGTGGGCTCTCTGTCAACCTTATCCTCCAGCACCTTCGGGTAGCCTGATTTGCCAGAATTGCATTTTCACATGCCTTTGGGGAAGTCAACTACTGGATTTCTATGACAGACTATTTCATCCCTTCTGTCTTCATCTCGTGCCTTCTAGATGTGCAATGCACCCTGCGGCACTTTAAAACCCAGAATGTCTGAAATTAGCAAAAAAGAATACATCCATGCGGTTAATTTTGCCTGAGCTTAATGAAATCCAGAATTCCTCCAGCGCCAGCCCACCCTCCACACAGCTCCCTGTGGGGTCTTCACAGAGCTCCAGCTCACCGCCCCCGGCCCGGCCCGTGCACATCACTTCTCACCTTGGGGGGTGGAGCGGTCAGCTGGCGCGGGTGAGGGACAGATGAGTAAACAGGGCCACACAGGCGCGGAGCCTGCAAGGTCTGGATGCAACAAGAACACAGGAAGGATTATGTTGGTTTTATCCTCTTGCTGCTGTTGCTTAATTGTTTATTTAGAGGAATAGAGCTGACAAAAAAAAAAAAACCAAGATGGAATTAATTTAAATAAAAGCGGTTTGCAAAACAAGCCTGGCAGCAAGTGGTTCCTTCCTGTAGCAGTGCAATTTTGCTCTTGTGGCTTCTTGCAAGGGCTCTAGCTTGGCCTCAGGACACTGTCCCGTAGTGACACAAGCAGAAATA